GCCCCTCTCCCTGCTCGTGTATGCTCTCTCTCAATAACTAAATAAACTTAAAAAAAAAAAAGTGAGATGGGTTTTCAGCATGCAAATCCCATTTTCTCATAAGTTTAATGAATGAGACAGCCTCCCTGAGTTTTGTCAGCTCAGGGGCAGTAGTAGCATCAAGTCACAAAACTGCGACCCAGATCCTGTCCTCACATTACACTGTTGATTGGCCAATAACCAGAATCCATACTCAACAAAGCTCCGCGGGGGAGCAGCAGAATCCGATCAGGAAAAAGAAGAGTTACCCCTAGAAGAAACAGTATGAACCAGCTGATACTCCTTGTCAAAAACTATAGGGAAAATTTATGGGAACTTTTAAAACGCTTTTTGACCAAGAGAGATGGAATATCATTTTGGTGATATTTACTGATATGTTTGCTCACTGGAAATTCTACCTTTAGTGTAGGAGCCCAAACAGATTGATATGGGTTTATCCTTGCGGCGTGGCGGAGGTAGGGGGTGGATAATACAAGTCTGGACCAAATAGCCATGCTAAATTATATTTTTAAAGAGACCAAATATCCAAGAAAGCAGGAACTCACAGATGTCAGGAGACAAGAATGCTTTATTGGGTCCCTTGCATGCGTCCAGCCCACCCACCCTCTCACTGCCCCCTGACAGGACCCAGAAGATGGTCTCGCTCCTTGCCATGAGATAAATGTGTGAGGCATTGCTGGCTTTCCTCTCCAGGCCTGGAAGCTGGTTGCAAGAGATGCTGCTGTGAGAACGAGCTCCCTGATCTCACCAGGAGAGATAGACGCAAGAACAAAGTAGACGAGGCATCAAAATGGTCGTGGGCATGGAAGCCAGACCTCTGGCTGTGGCTAATCAATCACCGGGTCTCAGGAATGAAAAAGACCAGACAGTCCCTAAGCTATCACCTAGGAGTTACCATAACTGAAGACTTCTGGTTGGGCAGACACGTCTGTCTCAAGCTGCCGAGATCAAGTCAAAATCTCCTTCTCATTTCCAGACCTTCGATGGAGAGAAAGTCAAACACCTTTGGAGGGAAACCTTACTCTGACACTTAGATATATATTGTGAACCTTCCTTGGCCTTCCCCAAAGGGATGTGTGTCCATTTATCTGGGAACTGGAGAAGGAAAAGGAAAATACCCAAACGTGGGGAGAGGGATTCTGTAACACACTGGCTCCAAGCTGTGACCATTTTCTGGGGACAACAGAAAAGCATGCGGTCTGCCAACCCATGGGGATGATTAATAAACCAAATTTGCACCAGAGTGATCACACTGGATCTCAAAGGCAACCAAGGATTATTTTGAGTGAAGAGTTGAAATGGATAGGTTTTTGAAATAGGCACCACTCCCGCACTGGCGCTCTGATGTGTGGGGTGAGAGCAACAGAATACAGGACAGGCACAAGCCATCAGAATCCCTCTCCTATCAAAACGGTAAATCAAAAGTAAGAGCGTATTCCCAGGGGCCATGTAGAAATTAGTGTAGCGATCAAAGCCTTGAGAGGGAAGTCATAGTAATGCCCACCAGGATCTGCTGGGCCCGGGCAAAACACCAGGAGGTCTTTGGATCACTGTAAACTTTAAAAAGCAATGTCTCAAAAAAGAAAGGGGGGGGGGCGCCTGGATGGCTCAGTCGGTTAAGCGTCCGACTTCGGCTCAGGTCATGACTTCACGGATCGTGGGTTCAAGCCCCGCGTCAGGCTCTGTGCTGACAGCTCAGAGCCTGGAGCCTGCTTTGGATTCTGTGTCTCCCTCTCTGACCCTCCCCTGCTCACGCTGTCTCTCTCTCTCAGAAATAAATAAAAAACATTTTTAAAAAATTTAAAAAGCGATGTCTCCAATGGGAGGTGCTGTTGCAGAGAAGCAATTCATCCAGCATTTGATATGAATCCTTTGATCTAGTGAATTCATTTTTTTCCTTTACTTTGATGAGCAAAGAACGTCAGAAACGGTTCGTCTTCACCCAGCCTGCGGTATACTCCACCGCTATCTTGGCTTAAAGGTACAGAATATCTCAGCCGCCCAGCTCTGTGGCTCAGTGGGCTCACAGGGATGCTGCCCTCACCACCACCACCTTCCCCACATGCCCTGAGGAGATGTACGTGAGTCAGGGGTGGGAGACAAATTACGTGAAAGGTCTTGATAAAGTTCCTGGGGGTTGAGGGGTCTGAGTAGGTCAGAATATTTCCTCCACAGTGTCCAACAAATTACTGCATTTTGAATCCCTTACCACGAAGCCCCGATTCCGGGCAAAAGTGCCATTTTAGGGCATCTTGCTCCAACCCATGTGTGACTGACCTAGAAGGCCACCAGCTTTGGGGTGGGCCTCGAGAAGGTTCCCCAGCTAGGAGAGCCTTTAGTGCAAATGGATCTACCAGGCCACATGGACAAACGTGCTGAGGTATGGGTCCGTCTGTGGCATATGGGGAACCATGTGGGGCCCGTGGCCCAGCCCAGTGCTAATGAAGTTCTGGCAAGTTTAATAAACATGGCAGGGGGACCCAGGGTGATGCTCTGGCCAATAAGTAAGTATCATCCTTTTGAAAAAGGGTTCTCCGGCTTGCCACCGGGCTCTGGGGCAGCCTAAATGCTTGGCTACAGCCTAGCAAGTGGCCTCATGAACCAGGTACTCTGGCCCGCCCAGCCATAGTGAGCCATGCCCAGAAGCTCTCCATCATTAAGGGGATGCTCTGAAGGCACAAGCGCAGCCACGTGTAGGAGTTCCTCACTCATTCTCCCACAGTACCCCCTCCTGCCCTGCTGCCCGTCTACACCTATCACTTCAAGGGGGCAGGAATTTGTCTTGACCACTATGGGTCCTTCATATCTGGCTTTGGACTTGCTTTCCTTCTCCATCACGCCGCTCCCACCATTATTATCCATGGAATTCTCGAATGCTGTAAACATCACTGAGGCACACAGTGCCTTCAACCCGAGGATGCACTTTACAGCAAAAGTAATGGGTTGATGCCTGTGGCATTCACTCATCTTGTCAGGGTCCCCACAGTCCAGAAGCAGTCGGCTTGATGATATGGTGGAATGGTTTGTTGAAAACTCAGTGATGGCCCCCGCTGAGAACCATACCTTGGAAGGTTGGGTCAGACTCACAGGATGTAGCATAGGCTCTGAAATGGCAACCAAGTCACGGTGTTAGGTCACTCTTGCCAGCCGGGAAGCAGGGTGGAGATATGCTGTCACCACGTCTCAATGCTTTTCACATACTTGAGCTTTGGGAAGAGGCTGGTGTAGAAGTTTTAGTCTCCAAGGAGACACATCCGTGTCATAATAATAAGTTGAATTGGAAGCTAAGGCACCTGATCATTTCAGGCTCCTTACACCTCTGAGAACACATAACAAGAGGTTGTGGGAGTCGCAAGATCGTTAACGCTATCGAGGGAAAATACGATTGCTGCTACACAAAAGGGGGGCAGGGCACAGGTGGATGCGGGGCGAGTCCTAGGGTGCTCCCCGTCCTGCCATGTCCTATGGTCATGTCCACCACGCAGGCAGGGCCACCGAGGAGCTGGACTTCCAAGCTGAAGCTTGGGTCGCTCCGAAACGCAAAGCGTCCCTAGTCATGAGCACTGGTTCTCATGACCTGTTCCAGAGATGGACTGCAGCCTTGACCCGTGCTTCCTTTCTTCTGCGTCCAACGATTTGGGTCGAATACAGTTAATTTTACCACTTAAGCCACAGGTTGCAGAATTTCAAAATGGAATTATATAAAAGAGAGAAGAGTGTCACTAGTGATGCTGGACTTGGGACAATGGTAGCCCTAGGTCACTACCCCGTGGACTTAGTCATTGGATGTGACCTCGAATGGTCTCCCTGAGCAGAGAGGAACTTGCTCTTGGGAGAGTTGTGATACATCAGGTGGGAGGAGCAGTGTGTGTGTGTGTGTGAGTGTGTATGTGTGTGTGTATCTTTGTTGCTGCCACCAAGCCCCTTTTACCATCCCACTCTCCACCATCCTTCTGGTAAGAATCCACATCCTTTGGGGAACCATCTCTGTTCTGCTCCATGGTGCCCTGAGCTCTAGGACAGGAATTTGAATCTTGTGTGAAGGGAATTCCATTGGAAGCAATGGGTGATTGGTGTGTAGAGTAGCTCTGAAGCTACTCTGGCTCCCACCTTCTCAAGGCCAATCACTCAGCTATTCCTTTGGTTCTGGGAGCTGCCCCAACACTGTTTCCATGCACCCCTTCTCCTTAAGTTGGTTTGAGTCCATTTCTGTGGCTCAAAACCCAAGAAACCTAATGCAAAGAGCCTCCTTTGAGACCCCCTCACGTATCTTTGCCTCCAAAAGTGGTCAACTCGGGGTGTGGCACAAAGCAGGTGCTCAGTGTATGTCTGTTGAATGAATGGATGAATGAATAATATTCCAACTCTCAGTTCACCAAGGCGGTCCAGATATGTGGACCGGGAGGCTTGGGGACACACTGGGACAAAAGGAAAAAGTGGGCAGAGTCACCTGAGCACAAGAAGAGGTAGCGAAGTCAGAAATGTCAAAACAGAGGGGCATAAACAGGCAAGGAAAGGCCCGGGCAGTGGCATGGGGTTGTTTGGGGACAAGAAGCCTCTGCACCTTGGGAAGCAGGAAACGAACAGTGAGTGGCTGAGAGGAGGACGATGCTTGTCCCCTGAGCTGCCGTGGAGACAGCCAGACACACTGGACGTTTCCCCAGAGCCTCCGGCTCTGTTCTTCCCTCCTGAGTTCCTTCCTTTGTGTTCCTCTCCCAAAAGAAGGAACGATTCCAAAGGCCTCGGTCCCCGGTACCCTGTTGAGGGACACAAGCCATCAGTCCAGTCGTGCAAGAGGCACACACTGTCTTGCTGTGGCCACAAAGCCTGAGACTGAACGTCAATCCAGGAGCCAAAACCTGGGCTCATCACTCCGCAGGGCCCAGGGGCTGCAGGATCCCCTCAGAGCACCTGCCTGGGGAGGGGGGACCCTGACTCCAAACACCTACAACCACACCGGATAAGGGCAAGCAGGGTACACAGTTGCTGCCTTTATTGCATTCCAAGGGGAGCAGGCTAGCACCAGACCCGTCCCACCCCAGGCCTCAGGGAGGGGCCCTCGGGAAGGACCCAGGGTGCTGGGCTGAGCGCAGCAATTCCTCGGGAGCCCCAGGATCGAGAGCTAAGGGCTGGGGGTAGGCGTCCTGGTTCCCAGGCACAGAGACTCCCCCCACTCCAGCACGCGGGTGGACCTTGCTCTCCCTAGGACTCGCAAGGGTACTACCCCACGGAGAAGGGCCTAGCCCTCCACCCCCAGTCTAGAGGGTTGTGAAATTCACTGTGACTGCATCTCCTTTCGGTTTGGGGCACAAGGTCCCTCCAAGTCAACACCTCCCCTCTGGCCACAGCCGATGACACAACTCTCATGCCACTTGTCGTCTCTTGGGCGAGGGGCCTAGGAGAGGCAGGGGAGGGTGGGCTGGTGGGGAGGGCGTGTAATCTGGCTGGTGGAGCCCCTGGGCATGGGGACACGCAGAGAGGCAGCGGAGGCAAGGCAGCAGGCTGTGGCCTGGCTCACAGCTGGGGATGGAGATGGGGGGCCAGGTAGCAGAGGAAGCAGGGGTGAGTGCCTGCGTGCTTGGAGTAGGAAAGGTGCAAACACACGTCACCAAAGACCACGGCACAGGAACGCGACAGGCTCTGGAAGGGCACTGAGCCCCATCCGGCCTCAGTGACAGGTTAGTTGCAAGACAAGCTGGGAAGAATGAGGCCGAGTTGCTGGAAAGAGAAGACACCCTGAGAGCCACCGGGCCAGGCACGGCACGGAGGGCCGTCCGGAGCCCCGAGGACGGCTGGAGGCCAAGCAAAGGAAAAAGGCTGAAGGCTGCCCCCGGGTGCAACATTCATGGCAGTCCCACGGGGCTGGGGGCTGGGGGCGGAGCTCATGCACAGGACACGGGCGCCTCCGGCAGTGGCCAGTGTAAACTTGAAGGAGGGCCTGAGCCGCCAGGCACTTGGGGGTGCAGCCTGGGAGCCATGGGTGATGCTGGCACCAGGAGAGGCCACTGGGTGCCACGCACAAAAGCCGTCGGATGAGGAGCAGATTGAGGAGAGGCCCCCGAATGGTGCCTCCCCAGCGCACCTTCTCTGCTTAGTTCCGTATTGGGCAAGTCTCCAGCGGTTCGAGCTGCTTCCTTGTTGGTCTGCTGCTGGGTGGCGGCCCCCAGCCTCTCGTGGGGGCTACCGTATGCCCTGGGCCTTGGGGCCGCCCTCTGCGATGGGAGGCTGTCCCAGGAAATGGGCGGTGAGTGCTTCTGAGGCCTGAGGGGTGGCCTTGGAGCCTGGAGTATTCTTCCGGGTGCCCTGGGGGCTGGGGGGGCCTTTCTTCTGGGGCTGAGGACTCAGCTGGCCGCCCTTCCTGCCAGTAGACGGACTCTTGGAGCCTTTGGCCTTGGCCTGAGGGTGGGCGGGCTCGGGGCCCTTGAGGGGTTTTAGCCCCAGCATCTCGCAGAAGGTGTTGCACTGGTGGGAAGAGGCAAACTGGTCCAGCAGGGCGGGGAAACAGCTCTCCTTGAGGCCTTGGTATCTGCAGCCAAAGAGGAAGAGCTGAGCGGGAGACCCCCCCCAGAGTGAGAGTCCTTGGGGAGCCTACTCAGGGGTGGCCAGGGCCAGGGTGTCACGCCCCAGCCTTTCGGGGGTGCTGGGGAGTCCGGCTGGGCACTACCTCACGTGGCAGCACCCCAAACCTCAATTCTAAACAGGCCTCTTTATACCGCAAGACAGGAACTCATTGTGTCCGTGTTAATCGGTGTGCGGATGACCTGCCTTTTTAGTATAAATTAGAACAGACTCCACATCACCACTTTATTCCCAGGGCCCTTGCTCATCTGCGTCCTGATGAGTTTTCTCAAGCAAGAAGGAAGAGGAGCCCAGGGTGGCAGGTGAGCCTGTGTGCGGGCATCAATACTGCTGGTCCAGGGGCGCCTGGGTGGCTCAGTCGGTTAAAGCGTCCGACTTCAGTTCAGGTCATGAGCTCAGAGTTCGTGGGTTTGAGTCCCACATCAGCTGTCAGCTCAGAGCCTGGAACCTGCTTCAAAGATTCTGTGTCTCCCTCTCTCTGCCCCTCCCCCGCTCATGCCCTCTTTGCTCTCTCTCTCACTCTCTCTCAAAAATAAAATTAAAAATAAATTTTAAGAAATAAATAAAAAAAGATACTGCTGCTCCAGACCTGGGGTCAGGGACACAGTGGGGAGAGGGAGGGGTCAGTGGCCCCTGGGATGTCACTACACAGCCACCAGTGCAACTGGGACCATTTGGCCACAGGCCCAGCACCTCAGGGATGGAGACCCAGAAGACCTTTGACAGGAGAAGGCCTCCTGTCCCCGAGAACCACTCACCCTCGTAGTTTGGTAGCAATCTGCACATCAGTCATCTTCCAATCAACCCCTGGAAAGACAGAAAGCTGGGACTTGAGGCAGCCCAGGCCAGTTCCAGGGACCCCACCTCTCCAAGATGGGTACCACTGGACGGGAACTTGCCAGGGCTCACCATCACCTCTGATATGCCTCACAGGCGGTGTGGGCATCTCTGTGTTGTCAGTGGCAATAATATCCCATTCTGACATGTGAGGAGATAGGCTCAGAAGTAAGGGACTGAAGCAAGGACACATTCATTCATTCACTTGATAACTGAGCACTGACCATGGGCAGCAGCCACTGTGAGTCAAAGTAAAAGCTCAGTTTTTCTTACTTGTAGATCCCAAACTCTTCCAGCTGTTCAACCCTGCCTCTACTGCATCCCACTAGACCTCTAGCTTTGAGCTAATCTCTGCTCCCTCCTCTTACCAGATTAGCCTATCTGGGTAAGAGCAAGCAGGTGGGAACGTGAAGGTAAGTCAGGCTGGGCCAACAGAAAAGTAACACTGGATACGACTGGCTTCCACATGCTCACACAGGCAGCAGGCAAGCATCCAAACAGGACTAGAGGAAGGTGGTGTTGGGATAACAGACACAGAGGAGCTGTCCCCACCCTGGCCAGTCCACCCAGCATCCCAGAGCCCACATGTTAGACAGAGCGGGACCCTCTCCCCACCTTCAAACTGTCCAGTCACATCGTTGTGGGAACCTGCCTCTCACTAGCAGGGCTCAGTGCTGTGTGTGACAGCGGGGCACACACGTGTCTTGAGACTGATTTCAGTCCCATCCCTTTCAACCCTCAAGAACTACCTCTAACCCTCAGCTGTAAGAGTGGGGCAATGCTGCCCACCTCACCGGGGTATTAAGAGTGTCACGGGGTGTGTAGGGCTCTGATTTGGTGTCTGAAACACAGCAGTCATGCAGGAGACGTTAATCTGTCATTTATCCCTCAGGGCCATCACCTTCCTCTCTGCCCCACACTAGCCATGATCCCTTAGGTCGGCACAGAATTTCAGTTTGCAAAAGGCACTCATGGACAGGGCCTCACTCAGGCCTTCAGCCAGGCTGGGAGGCAAGGAAGATACTGTCACCCCCTGGGAGGGAAACAGTGGTGAAACTCGGAGAGATTAAGGGGCCCACTGTGTCTGTGCTTCGGCTTTCTCCTGGGTTTACAGGGACCGGCAGGAAAGCTCTGAGATGTAGCCTAAAGCCTGATTTCTCCGACTCCCAGCTCTTCCGACTACATTGCATGATCATCTCATACTAGAAACTGGTATACTTATCACAGCTTCCTGAGGGCAGTGACGATTCCCCATTTGCCTTTTTAGCTTCACGATGTTGGGTAAATGTTGGATAGATGGAAGGAAGGAGGGATGGAGTCAAGAAACAAAATGAATGACAATAGCTTAATGTGCTACCAGCGCCCCCTCAACATACAGAGTTACATATACAATATTTGTTGTGCAGGTCAATCCCAACAAAACGCACATTTGAGCTGGTTTTTGGTCTCTGGCCCTTGGTTTTCTCACTAATGCACACTGGGGACCAGATGTGGTCACGTGTCATATTCCCAGCATCCCTCTCCTCCCACCGTAGAGAAAATCTCTTCCTTTCCCCCGCCTGATTCTGGTTAGAGAGTAGGCCTCTTGCTGCCCTTCGTTGGGGGGGGAGTGGAGGAGGGGGGCAGAATCTGAGTAATGGGAGAGACGGGAGTAAGAGGAAGCCAGAGAGACTAAGTTGGTTCCCATAATAAAGAGGTAACAGAAGTGGAGGAGGAGAGAAGGAGGAAGGGAGGAGAGGAAGGAGGAGAAGGGGGAAGAGGAGGGGAGGAAGAGGAAGAGAGGAGAGGAAGGAAGAGGGGGGGAGGAGGGGAGGAGAGGGGAGGGAGGAGGGGAGGAGAAGGAGGAGGGGGGAGGAGAGGGGATGGGGGAGGAGGGAGTGAAGGAGGAGGGGGAGGGGAAGGAAGAGAGGGGAGGAGGAGGGGGAGGAAGGAGCTGGAGGGGGAGGAAGGGGAGGAGGAGGGGAAAGAAGAGGTAAGGAGGAGGGAAGGGGAGAAGGGGAGGAGGAGGAAGAGGAAGGGAGGAGAGGAAGGAGGAGGGGAAGGAAGAAAAAGGAGGGGGAAGAGGAGGGAGGAGGGAGGAAGGGGAGGAGGGGGAGGAAGTAGAGGGAGTAGGGGCAGTAAGCTAGTGAGCTAGGACGGAGGGAAGAGCTTGGGGAGTAAGAGAGGGGAAAGTCCAGAGAAAAGCTGGAGGGAAAGGAGGAAGAGAGATTCTGCAAAGGTGGCTGTGGGGTTTTAATTAGCACCTACGTAATGTTTTTTGAACTCCAATCTTTTTACATTTTAACTGGAGCCTGGAACCTGCTCCTTTAAAGCCCCTGCAGTTACAGAGCAAGCTGCCTGAGGCCCGTGCGTATTAGGGCCGCACACAAAACGGCACCCGCCTGGTCTACCCCACGAGGTTGCTGTGAAAAGCAGAGGAGAGGCGACAGCAGGGCATGGCCCGGGCCCTCCGCACGCCCCCGTACCTGCCAGGTCCGTGACCAGGAAGCTGCCGTTTGTCCAGAGATAGAGCCAGTGCTGGAAGGTCTGGCACTTCTGCCTGACCTCAGAGCTGCTAGGCGCCTCCGGAGCCGCGGCACAGCCCCATTCCCGCGAGCAGTAGGGCTGCAGGCGCCGGCCCAGGTCCTCCTCCAGGGTCGCATACGGGACACTGTTTGCAGGCCGGTAGATGAGGTACAGCGGGAGGATCCTAAACACAGTTGCAGGGTGCTGTGAGCCCGAAGTGTGGCCCCGGAGAGCTCCTCCCTCCGTCTCGGCTATAGACACTCTTGGCTTGAAAAGGAAGGCCTTCCGAGAACGGAATTCTCAGCTCTGACACCAAAGGACAGAAAGAGAGCGGAGCTCTGCCCTGAGATCGGGAAGGGAAATGGAGGCCACGGGCTTCAGAGTCCTGTCCGTTCTCTGAGGCCAGTGGGATTTGAACCCAACGGTGCTACGGCCCCAGGAGGACTCAGAGCTTGGGTGAGGGACCAAGACCTGTATGTGTCAGATGGAAAGGAACACCTCCAGAGAGGATCCAGCCAAACTGTGCTCAACGCCAACAGACTCAAGAGTCAAGAGTTCGGGCCTCGGGGCGCCTGGGTGGCTTAGTCGGTTAAGCGTCCGACTTTTGCTTAGGGCATGATCTCGCGGTTCGTGGGTTCGAGCCCCGCGTCGGGCTCTGTGCTGACTGCCAGCTCGGAGCCTGGAGCCTGTTTCAGTCTGTGACTCCCTCTC